AAATTAAATAAAATAAATTTATAAAAACTTATTTTTAAAATAAGTGAATTTTTTCTTTTAATATATATATATATATATATAATATTACTTTATATATAAAATATTAAAATTTAGTTAAGAATGAGATTGCATCTATATCTTTCTAAATAGAGAGAATTTTTTTTCCCAATAAGGTTACAAGAATGCACAAGGAAAGTTGTCGGTCTCCTAGCACTCACTATAAGAATTTAATTTTAGACAATACTTAGGTAAAATTACTTGAGTGCAATTAATGTTATTTTTTAATTAAAATTTGAGTTTTATCTTAATAATATATATAATATATTAATGAGTTTACATTAAATATAAGTGTACATTTATCAATGTTAATCCTTAACTTTGATAAATAAAAAAACAATTCTAACCGTATCTAAAAATATGTACCTAAGTTTTATCCTTTAATTATTAAGCATTAATTTTTTTTATTATGTACTTTTATACTTAATGATGTAAGCATGATTTTTTCCCTCATGAATAGTGTTAGAAATATTTTTTTTAATTATGGTATTAATATTAATACTTAGTATTTACCTTTAGAAATATTAATTAATTTATGTTGAAGACTTTAAACGCAGAAAAAAATAAATACTTAAAAAGATGGTCAAAACTAAAACTTGGTAAACAACGATGGAAGACAATATAAAAATGAATATAAGGTAAAAAAAAATTAATTAAAAAAATCTAAGTTGTGAATTTAAACTTTTAAAATAAATTGTAATCCCAAGCGTGTGGTTCAGCGGTAGGGGTTGATCCACGCTTAAGCAAGGTCAGGGTTCGAATCCTGTCTTGTGTACTCCAGAGACGAACAAAAAAAAAAATGTTACTTGTGAATAATTGATTAATATAATAATATTGTAAATATACAAATACAAGATAAACTACATAATTAATAAAAATTCAAATAACTAAAATGAGACAAAAATAAAAAGTAGAAAATATGACATTATCATTTGCCGATAATTAAATTACCAAATACCCTAGAACATCAACTAGACAGAAAATGAAAGAAAAATAAAATTTAAAATCAAAATTTCTTCAGGGCGATAAAAATAAAAATAATATGTATAAATATATAAAATCGAAAGGTAATTAAAGTTGATACTTATCATAAATATTGTATTTTTCCGAAATTACACGATTATAATTATATCACTAGTTAATTAACAAACTTGTGTAAGGTAAGGGGGTGACAGAGTGCCACGTGTCAACACCTCTTAACGTTTCTGAACCTGCTGCTGCAATTGATCCCAAGAACGCAGAGTACGGCAAAACGCCAAATAAAAACCGAAACTTTGTCATCAACCAATTCTGCACTCCAAATCCAACCTTCGTTTTATCCTACCCATCTTTGATTTTTTTCCTGGGACACTGTTGTTTTCATCTATGTCACTAATTCCTTACTCTCGGTGGGTTGTTGGGTCCAGAAACAAGACATGGAGGTTAACATGACCAAAACGTTGTCAGTGTGTAAGAGTTTGTTGAAGGACGTTGAGAAATGGGGTTGTTTGAAGCAGACAGGGGTGAGTTTGAGATACATGATGGAGTTTGGTTCCGCACCCACAGACAAGAATTTGCTCATTTCTGCTCAGTTCCTTCACAAGGAGCTTCCAATTAGGATTGCAAGGAGAGCCATTGAGCTTCACACTCTCCCTCATGGCTTGTCCCACATGCCTCCTGTTTTGAAGGTATCCTCCACCAAAATTGTTGGTTTTGCTATTGAGGATGTTTCAGGAAACCAAGTTTTGGTTGTTTCCAAGGTTTTTTTTTGCATTTTTAAGAACATGACAAACTTTTTAGAGTTGTTGTGAAGTGTGTTTGGACAACACTTAAATGCAGCATCATAACTACCCTTCATAATTTTTTCCAATTTGAATTGAAATTTAACCTCGATAACATTCATGATAAACAATTCTATTAAATGTTAATGCATATTTTATAGTAAAATTTCAATATTGATTGCAGAATAACACCAAAACCACATATGGTGCGAATCTAAGTTTTGTCCTTTGTGTTTATGTACTGTATGAAAAAAGGGGTTTGAGTTTAGTGTTAATATACTCTCTCTGGTCCTTGCTTGGTATAAGTTGTGTTTATTATAAAGACCAGAGGGAGGAGGGAGTAATAAGTAGTGCGGATTATTCTTTGGTGTCTATTATTTGTGGACAGCTGTGTTAAACCTATTTTGCAGTTGACACTTGCATATAAGTATGTGAAGTTCTTGTTATATTTGGGGTGAGCAATTCAAGAGGTTTAAGAAGTCCCACATTGCTTGTTTTGAGATTTGAAGCTGAATCAACTTCTACTTCAAATTTGTTATTTTTTTCATTTATCTATGAAAATAATAATTATATGACTTGATTTTCAATGAATTTGATGTGGTTTTAATCTCCTCATAAGACATAGTTGAGGTTAGAGGAGAAATTATTACATGCTCCAAATTAATCTCTACAAAATCTAGTGAATTGACTTTCTAAATACTTTCTCCATGAAAGAGAGTAGGACTTTTGACTTCTGGCTTTGCAGATGGTTATGGATTATTGAACTTTGTGCTTTTATGTTTTTAGGTTAGAGATTGGTACTTGGATTCATTCCGTGACCTTAGATCTTTCCCTGAGATCAAGGACATGAATGATGAGAAAGAATTCACTGAAATGATTAAGGCCATCAAGGTGAGACACAACAATGTGGTACCTACAATGGCCTTGGGTGTTCAACAATTGAAGATTGTTTCTGAGGATCCTGATGAGATTGACGAGTTTCTTGATCGCTTTTACATGTCAAGAATTGGAATTCGGATGCTCATTGGTTAGTTCTAAGAAAAACAACACTCCTTATCTTTTGCGAGACTAATCAATGTATTTGTTACAACTAGCTAGTTTCATATAGTTACTTTGCAACTAGTTAGTTATAACATTATTTGCTCCAAATTTTGTTTCTCTCTCTAAGTAAGGTTGAAACTCCAAAACTTTAATATGTCTTTCATTTTAATGGTATTCAGGGCAGCATGTTGAGTTGCACAATCCCAATCCTCCTCCGAATCGTGTAGGTTATATACATACAAAATTGTCTCCAGTGAGTCTGGCGAGGAATGCTAGTGAGGATGCACGTGCTATGTGTTATCGTGAATATGGCACTGCCCCAGATGTCAACATTTACGGTGATCCTGATTTTACCTTTCCGTGAGTGACAATCTTGTTACTCCTTTGAATTCATTTGCCTTTTGTTTTCCATAGAACCCTTCTTATGTATAGTTCTTGGAATGGATATCATGCTAAATTCTTTTATCATAAATAAGCAGTTATTTCTGTTATCTTTTTTCTCTTTAATTCTGTATGTTTTCACTAAAAGGTATGTTCCAGCTCACTTGCATCTTATGGTATTTGAGTTGGTTAAGAACTCACTGCGAGCTGTGCAAGAGCGTTTTATGGATTCTGACGAAATTGCTCCTCCCATTAGAATAATAATAGCTGATGGAATAGAGGATGTTACCATAAAGGTAAGTTTCTATAACTTAAAGGAGAATTCTGACATCCCTTTGTTGGATTATCTCTGTCCTGTTCAGTGTTATTGATTATTGGATATTGTTAAACAAATTCTAATATTGTCAAGGGTGCCTTAGAACCCAGCTTTTGAAGTATTTTGAGATTTAGATTTTGGAGGGAAAGACAAATAAGGGCAAAATTTCATTTATAATCTTTCAAAATAGAAGCAATAAAATGACAGATTAAGCATAAACTTGGTGTTTGTTTGGTTCCACAACCAAAGCTTTCAGACTCATGTAAAAGACGTGGAAACAAGAATTGGACGTGAGTTTGTCTGGATGTGATGCTGTTCCAATCCAAAGATGGACTTAATGTCTTATTTAGATTTTTTTTATAATCAAAATGTTATTTTGTTTATTATCTAAATGACATGGTAGGTATCAGATGAGGGAGGTGGAATACCGAGGAGTGGTCTCCCAAAAATATTTACATATCTCTACAGTACAGCCAGGAACTCAGTGGATGAACATGAAAATTCTGATCTTGGAACAGCTGGTAATGTAACAATGGCTGGAAATGGTTATGGACTTCCTATTTGTCGCTTGTATGCTAGGTATTTTGGGGGTGATCTTCAAGTAATCTCTATGGAAGGATATGGTGAGTAGTAAACTATTACTAATTTTTCTTTTACATTTTAATATTCTGCTTTGTTTTACATATGGATACGGATGGAGTTTTGAAATATTGAACATGATTGCTCTGTATGATGCGATACTGCTGTAGTTTTGAGGAAAATAAATGGAATGAAGATAATACTTAATAAAAAAATTTATTTAATAAAAAATGTGTAATAATATTTTAAAAATATAAAATCTAGATAATCTTTTTCCTTTTAGCAATGGAAAAGATTATAAATGATTATGTGAGGATTGTAGAATTGTTTGAAATTTTATATTTACACTTAGCTGATAAAACTTCTGAATCTCTTATACATTTATATGTTGATTATTTACAGGGACTGATTCATATCTTCATTTGTGTCGTTTGGGAGATTCACAAGAACCTTTGCCCCCCTAAATGTAATTAATCTAGGTAAATATTGTACATGGAAACACCAAAACTATGTTGACACCCACAATATTTTTATTATTATTTTTTCCTAATTCTTAACAACTTGAGAACTTCCTTAATATAGTACTTGATGAGAGTTGTTAAATAATAGTCTGATTTATATTAGTCTTATTTTGGAAGGACTCATTTAAAATGTCACACACCGATATATATTTATTTAAAGTAGAAACAGCAAACGATGAATAATTTTAAGAGTTTGGAATACAATTATATATTCCTTGAAGATTATGTCAACCAGTTCCTGTTTATTATTAAAAAATTATAATAACAAAAAGTTTCAATAATTAAAAGGTACACTTAAAATATTATGCAAGTAAAATATTTTCAATCCAAAGAATATTACAAAGACTTATTACAAATAGATAACTCTGCAGGAGTTTCATTGGCCCAACACCCAACTACAAGCACAGATGCTTGAAACTGCAAAGTAGGGTGTGCTAGGCCCAACTAAAAGAACTAGGCCCAACTAAAAGAACTAATGTTTGAGACTGTAAAGTAGGGTGTGCCAGGCCCATGCAATAGTGCAACACAAGGGCGACACCTGAGAGACCCAATAGCAAGCTACTGTGATGGACTCTCCCCTTCAAAAAAGTAATTTAATATCGTGTGGACCAATGGCCCACATATCAGATATTAAACTGATAAGAACAGATACTACACTTGATCTTAGCCAAAAGGCCGAGAAAGGTATGAGTATGCTCATCTTGCAACATTTCTTTTATGACATAACTTCAAGTAGCTGTTGCCTCTTCGCAGCAATGTGGGACTTCTAACTGGTGCTTTCAAGCCTTTCTGTCTTACACTCAATGAAATCTTGTTCTTTGTTTCAATGTTGGATCACGGAAGCGCAATACAATATAATCACACTGTCTCGTTTTAATTTTGTTGCAGCATAGGCCTAATCATTTTGACTAATAGTAAATTAGAAAAGACACCAATTTTGTGTGGTTGCCACGGAAGTTCAAAGAAATTTTGTTACTCTGCTGTAACTTAGGGTTCCCTCTCAAAATCTTTAGAAGTTTCAAGAGTTCTTTCCTATTCAATACTCCACCACCTGATGATGCATTAAATTTGAATGATAAAACAGTGTGGGAAATTGAAGAATGCGGGTCTTAAGAGAAGATCACGAGTTATTACACCTCCACATTCCAAAAATCATCAATTCTCTTAATATTCAATTATGGATAAGATTACTGGTCGAAAGCACTCTCTTCATTCTCCTTTGGTTCTCTATGCAGTTAACTTATATAACTTTACATTTTCATAATTTAGAAGTTAGAAAGGCTCAACATTTCTTAGGCTGTTATGCTAAACAGTTGCTGAAGTGAATAAACAAAATTAAGATACAGGTGTGCAAGCTTCTTACTTGCAAATTTTATGCTTAAAAAGATGAAAGAAAAACAAAAGAAAAATATTAAATATAAGACATGTAAAAAAATTATATAAATCAATTTCAAGACAATTGTTTTAACTAAAAATGAAAGGAATGTCACATCTCACGTGCCCAAACCCATTACTCAATCCAAGGGAGACACTTAGACTCCGAACCTGTAACATTACTGGTCTATAGCACAATCTTCATCTTGCTTTAGTTCTCTATGTATTTAAATATTGAAGAGACAATAATCAATGGAAGCTGGTTGCTACTGATATGGTGCCCGAATACAATTCACTGTGAATGTTTTATTATTCAGCAGATATACATATTTTTATGGCTTATGATTAGATCCATAGACATATATTAAGCATGCTGCTTCTAGATTCACGTGAGATTACAGGATTTTATACATTAAAAAAAGAAGAAAAAAATTTGGTAACCAATCACAATTGTAATTACCAGTAGTCTTTACAAGAACACTCTCCATTACTAAATTGATGGAAACGGTTCCTGTCCCTTATTATTATATCACAACCATAAACCTTGGAAATCAGTTTACTTGCTTGATGACAATCTTTACAAACCCTTAGATTTTTTGTGACACGAAGGGTCTCTCCTCGTTTAGTCTTCAACAAACCATAAGCAATTGCAAGTTTCTCACTATGGTAGAACAGGGGATTCTCCCTTTCCTCCTCAACAAGATCATGCAACACATCATCTGTATCAGGAACATAACCAACCACCCTAATTGATTCCAACATCTCATAAACCTTGTCATATATGGTCTCAGCCAGAGGATGATCCCTCCCACCAGCAACAAATTCATTGACCACACCCTCCATTTCAATGATGGAAAAGCCCGGTTCCTTCTTCACTCCCCTCTCATCCATCCACTTCCTCACACTAGCAACTTGTTCCCATTTTCCAGAACTAGCATAGATGTTACCTAGCATCACATAACGCCCACTATTCCCAGGATCTAGCTCAATCACTCTCTTTCCCACCTCCTCCCCTAACTCAAAATTCCCATGGATTCTACAAGCTCCAAGAAGTGCACCCAACACAGAAGCATCAGGACTCATAGGCATTTCCTCCACCACCTTTTTTGCTTCCTCTAACCTTCCAGCTCTTGCAAGCAAATCAACCATGCAACCATAATGCTCCATGGCAGGCTCAACGCCACGAACATCCACCATGTAACGAAAGTAATATCTCCCTTCCTCAACCAAACCTGAATGAGCACAAGCAGCGAGTACATTCACAAAAGTGATACCATCAGGCACAACCATAGCTTCCTCCTCCATCAAACTAAAAAGGCTGATAGCATCCTTTCCTTTGCCATGCATGGCAAACCCTCCAATCATGCAATTCCATGAAGAAAGTCCTTTGACTTTCAACCCACAAAACACACGAAAAGCCTCATCCAAACAGCCACACTTGCAATACATGTCAACGATAGTAGCACCAAGCTTTGAGTCCAACACAATCCCAGCTTTCTCAACATAACCATGTATCCACTTCCCTTGCTCCAATGCTCCCACTCCCGTGCACGCAGAGAGCATGGTAGCCGCCACGAACCTATCCATCTCCACCCCCTCCTCTCTCATTCTCCTAAACAACTCAAACGCCTCAGGAAAACGGTTGTTCTTAACAAAACACGAAATCATAGCGTTCCAGGAGACGGAATTCTTGCAAGGCATGAGTTGAAAGAGGCGAAAAGCCTCGTCCACGTGTCCCCAGAGAGAATAGCCCGAAACGAGGGTGGTCCAAGACACGACATCGGGATGAGAAATGGTGTGGAAGACTCTCCGAGCATCGTGGAAGGAGCCAAATAAGAAGTAGACGTGGACGAGGTTGTTGAGCGCGGCGATGTGGGAGGCGAAGCCGAATTTGATTATGTGAGCGTGAAGCTGCTTGGTTTGGTGGAGGTTGGAGGAGGATTTGAGGAGAGGGGGGAAGGTGAAGGCGTTGGGGAGGAGGGAGCGTTGGAGCATGTGGGAGTAGAGGGAGAGTGAGAGAGAGGGAGAGGTGTTGAAGGCTTTGAAGAGAGTGTTGTAGAGGAAGGTGTCGGGGTTGGGGAGAGTGGCCAAGAGTTTGAGAGCGTAGTTTATGTCGCCGTGGTTGGAGAGGGAGCAGAAGGTGAAGATGCGTGACATGGCGTGGTTGTCGGAAGAGAGACCCCGACGGAGGAGGACGGAGTGCTGTTGCTTCACTTCCGCCATGCTTGAAGGACCAACACCAGCCCAAATGCTACTACTCATTTCCCCTTATCTTCTTCTTTAGACACCCTTGCATATTAATTATTAATTAAATAAATAATTATAAAGACTAAAAGATTTTAAAAATATTATTTTAAAATAAAATGAAAGAAAAGAGGCAGCCACAGCCACAGCCACAGCCACAAATAATGGAGGTGTTGCAGTTGGTGGGTCCCCACTTTCCCCTCCGCCATTCTCTTTCCAAACGCACCGTCTCCGTTCCTGCTCCCGCTCATTTACTCTCGGTGGTGCTCCGGCGCCGGACCGGCGGAGTGCGGTGCGCGGTGGAGGTTCCCGAGGGAGGGAAGATGGTGATGGAGCTGGTGGGAGCGTTCAACGAGCTAACGGAGAGAATGAACGTGTTGTCCACCAGCTCTTCGCGGCTTCTCTTCAAGTGCCTCAAACTCTCCATCCCCATCTTGCAAACCTCCCCTCTCGCTCCCGATGGTCGTTCTCCTCTCTCCAAAGCCTTATCCGTCGCCATGCTCCTCGCCGATCTTCAAGTTACTTTCCTTACTAACCACTATTTTACCTTTCAAACTGCAGTGGGAGAAAATATTAATAATCTCAGAACCAGATTTTTATTCTTTTTATGTTTCGATTCTAATTTGTAATATATCAGTAGATTAGATTTCATAAATTTTAAAACATAATAGTATGATTATTCTCCTCCGCCACTCT